TCGAGCGACGATTAAAAATGTCATGAAAATTGTGTTGTTACCCACCAAACAATTTGTGTTGCCAGCAATAAGAAAACGTGTCGCCCTCGGAAACAAATTTATTGCCGGTAATATTGCCATCGAATCGATTTCCTATTACCGGTCGCTCTAAAACGTCCGCCGAAGGCAACTCGCCTGGGCGAGTCGTTTTCTTATTACCTGAATGAGCCCTTTTCTTATCGCCTCAGGCGATTTTTGGAATAATTTTATTCTTTTTAATACTTCATTTATTTTTTTGTACCAAATTGCAACTTACAATCGGAATTAATTCATTTTCTCGCTGTGCGACTTCCTATTTTTTCAATCTTGTCCTTGGGCATAATTTAGATGCTTTTGGCCAATACTATTGACGCCATATTCATAAGTTTCGGAATTTTTGAGAACTTTTTTATTCAAAATTGACATGAACGAAGTGATGTTGCCGATTTGTCACCACAGCAATAAATCGGTGAGTCGCCAATTTGTTGCGATTGACCATGTTTTGCATGGTGGGAAGTTGGGGAAGAAAATATCAAAAAGTTAAAAATCCAGAAATAGTCCTAATTTTAGTGATGGTTCGTTAATATATTTTAACTACATTGCATTTGAGTATGGAGAGGCAACTATCTGGAAGTATTTACATAAAAAATTTATTAAGTATTGCCCGGTTTGTAGTTGCAGTTAAAGAAAACACTGAAAAGGCACGATTTTTTTTTAATTCGAAAAAATGTAAATATTTCAAAACGGTGAACTTTTACCTGAAAATTTTTTGTTTATCGGGAGCTCACCCTCCCACCTACCTTCCCCTAAAGTTTGGCACGTTACTTCTGGGACACCCTGTATATACACGAGATTTGGAAGTTTTTATCCAGACGTCCAATCGACATGTTTGAGATATCGTTGGAAAGGTCATGCAGAGTGTGTCCAGAAAATGTATTCAAGCTTCATAAACGAATAGCCGGATTCTTAAAAATTAGGCCAAAGTGTTGCGAAACAAAAAACGTTTTTTTGCTTTTGGCGGTTTAAGGGGGCATGTGGGTATACCCAACATATTTAGTGTTATTCTATAGGCCAATACCTTTCAAACGAAACCTTATATATTAAGTTCCGGCTACTAGTTGGAAAGATATAGAGGTATATGTGTTTTGGTTCGTGTCTCCACTACGAAATGCTTTGGTATGTATGTGGCGTCTGTACGTACCATCATTTAATTTTTTTCAAACTTTCAGGAATTAAAGTACACAAAAACCTAAGAAGGTTTTTTTCCAGGATGTTGTGATTCGTATGCCTGGCTGCTGCCTGAAATTCGAAAAAATGCAATTTTTTAAACTAGCACTGAGGCCGCAGTACTCAGTCTATCTCATTGATGTGGATATCAGTAGAAGGGTCTTCAAGGGTCTATCTTCTTTGTTTATAAAATATAAATATGTCATACCGTTATCGCCCGAAAACTAAAAATCGGGCTGCTGAAAATATACAATTCGGGCATTTTCTCAAAAACTGGTCAGTCGATTTTATTCTAGGTTTCTACAAATCTAGCCCAAAACCTTGGCTTTCATCTGGTATACAGCTTATATCTGGGAAAACTCTTGTTGTGGAGATATTGCGATTCATATTGAAAAAATGTCACTCCAAAAAGGGTCGAATGGTTAAAAATTAACACATTCGTTTAATTTGGTTACTTTAAGACATAAAAATAACATACCCAGTTCCCCCAAAAAATTGCCCATTCCCCGATTGCCACTTAAACCGAAATTCCCTGAAAATCGGGGAATTTTCCGCGAGTTGACAAGTTGAATGATGCAGCTGTGCTAATCACTTCCTAAATGTCTTGGAAACCACAATTTGTGTGTATTTTAGAGCACTTAACCTACCTGGGAAGACGCGTACAATATTACCTATAGTTGTACATAAATATGTATGGCTGCGTTTCTTTATACATTCCGGATAATCCCATTTCACAGCCGGAATAAACAGAATGCGTTTGAAATATACGTCAACATATCATCAGGAACGTTCTAAAGAATAAATAAACAAAAAAGCTTATTCCAAACGTTCAGAATGAATAAAGAAATGCAGCCTATGTATGAATGCATTTAGTTCACCCAACGTGCCGCTACTACTTACATACATATGTATAAATTGCCTCTGAGCAAAACTACTTGAGAAAAAAGCATTAGTTTAGTAGCACGAGTGCAACACCGTACACGTGATAGAAGTAAAACTTCTTAAAAAGATCACATGTGTGCGCCCCACACCCGGTAGAAATCTTAACAAAAATAAACTACGAGACTATCAGACGAATATAGTTGTTTATTGTATCCAAAGTTGGTACCAAGTTGATAAGTTTTTATCATTTCTTATACATTTAATTTTTAATTTTTTCGAATGCAAAGGATATGATCATTCTTTTTCGCTTTATTTCGTATTCGGAAAATTATGTGTTTCAATGGACACATCGATTTGAATACATAATTTAGATTTAGATAATATTTTTATCAATTTATTTGAGAAAAATAAAACATTTAGATTATTGTTTGTATTTTGGTCGATTTTAAATTTGCTACCCCAAAATAATTGATATCAAATAAAACACCTCTTTGAGGTAAAATTTTCGAGTGACGAAAGCTGAACTAGAAACACAAAATTTATGATATCAATTTCGTGACGAAAATTATACGCATTTTTTAACTGCCTTTGAAACGTACGGAAAATCTTTTTTTTATTTATTCGGAACGTTGCGTTTTCTGCTAGAAACACAAAATAAAAGACAGAACTTTTGCAACGATTCGTATGAATAAAAAAGATTTTCCCTACGTTTCC